TATGGCATAGACTATACAGAAACCTTTGCACCTRTTGCAAAAATGAACACTATCAGAGTTCTTCTATCCATTGCTGCAAACTTCTCATAGCCACTATTTCAGCTGGATGTTAAGAATGCCTTCCTCAACGGAGACTTGCAAGAGGAAGTATACATGAAGTTACCCCCTGGTTTTTATAGTACAGAAGTAGGAAAGAAAGTTTGCCTTTTAAAGAAAGCCTTGTACAGGCTGAAACAATCCTCAAAAGCTTGGTTTGATAGGTTTAGATTGGCTTTGGACAAATTTGAATACATACAAGCTCAGTCAGATCACACCCTCTTATTTAAGAAGACAGGTCATTCCCCAACTCTACTTGCAATCTATGTAGATATTGTGATAACAGGAAGTGACACTACTGAAATTGAAACCCTTAAACAACACCTTCACAAGGAATTTGAAGTGAAAGACCTAGAAAAGTTACACTATTTCCTAGGATTTGAGGTAGCTCAATCTAAGCATGGCATTTTCATCTCCCAAATGAAATATGTTCTGGACTTATTGGAAAAAACTAGCAATTTAGGAGTGAAACCTGTTGATACTCCCATTGAGCCTAACCATAAGATATGTGCAGAAAGTGGAGAACTCCTTGAGGATAGGGCTATGTACCAAAGATTGGTTGGGAAACTTCTTTATCTCTGTTTAACCCGACCAGATATTATATGTCGTCAGTGTTGTCAGTCAATACATGCATTCTCCTAGGACCACCCATCTCCTTGCAATAGAAAGGATCTTTACCTACTTAAAGAGATGTCTAGGGAGAGGTATACTCCTCAAGAATAATGGTCATATGAAAATAGAAATGTATACAGATGCGGATTGGGCCAGATGTGTTAATGATAGAAGGTCCACCTCTGGATATTGTGCATTTGTGGGGGGAAATCTTGTTTTCTGGAGAAGCAAGAAACAAAATGTTGTTGCCCTCTCCAGTGCAGAAGCAGAATACAGATCCATGGACAATGGTGTTGCAGAAGTGTTATGGCTGAGATCCTTGCTTAATGAGTTGGAGGTTGATTATGAGAAGCCTCTGATGTTGTTTTGTGACAATCAAGCTGCAATTAATATTGCCCACAACCCAATACAGCATGACAGGACTAAGCATATCGAGGTTGATAGACATTTTATCCGAGAGCGAGTCGCATCTCAATAAGTATGCCTTCCTTACATTGCCTCAGACATGCAGTTAGTTGATCTCTTTACCAAAGCAGTCACAAAAGGCAAATTGGAGACAGATCTACGCAAGTTGGGCATGACAAATATCTACTCCCAACTTGAGGGGGAGTGAAGAAATAGTTGGTTAGCCACAAGTGTGGGGTTCCATACCCACACTTAGGCTCTAGTGTGTGTGGTTTCATAGCCACACCTAGTTGTTTCTATTTTTTTTTATTAATAGTTTCTAATTTCTTTTTAGTAGTTACTAATTTCTTTAGTTTCTAATTTCTGTTATTAGAAGTTTCTAATTTCTGTTAAGTTGGATTGGGTGGCCTTATTGTTTCTAATTTTTGTTTATTTCCTATTCTTGTAAGAATCCTAAAAGCTATAAATAACGGAGTGTATGGGGCAGTAGATGATTCACCACTGAACCCTTTCTTTCTTTTCTCCTCTCTTCACTCTTTCTCTCTCTCTCTCTCTCTCTCTCTCTCTCTCTCTCTCTCTTTTCTTCTCTTCAAACCGGTAATACAGTAAACAGCTCTTCTTCTTCTTTCAAGTAATGTCGTACACTTGAAAAGTTTTGAAGCAATGGTAGAGGCAATAGGGCAATTTGGTTCGGGATTAAAAATCCCAAGTTACTATGAGTTGCAAGTACCTTTCTTGAAGGAGGTTGATTATACAAAAACATTGCTTCAGCACCATAAGGAGTCTTGGGAAAAATAGGGCTGCTCACTTATGTCTAATGGGTGGACAGATAAAAAGGATAGAACCCTCACAAATTTTTTGGTCCATAGCCGTGCGTGGACAATGTTTATAGAGAGCATTGATGCTTCAAGTGAAGTAAAAACAGTTGAGAGGTTATTTATACTGCTTGACAAGATGGTGGAGAGAATTGGTGAGAAAAATGTTCTCCAAGTTATTACTGACAATGCATTAAATTATGTCCTAGCCGGTGAGTTTTATACTTTGTTATTAAATATTTCTATTTAACTTTAGTCTTTTGACATGTTAAAGTCACATTTCTTAATTCTTATTTCTTGAATTGTTTTCTTTTATTATTAGGGAAGTTTTTGATGGTAAAGCATCCTCATCAGACATGGACACCATGTGCTGCCCATTGTTTGGACTTGATATTGGAAGACATTGGAAAGTTGCCTACTGTGAAGAGAACAATTGAGAGGGCAATTGCACTTACGGGTTATATCTAAAACCATCCGGGTTTATTGAACTTGATGAGGAAGTTCACAAATCAGAGAGAATGATTAGGCCAGAAAAAACCCGTTTTGCTACTTCCTTTCTCACATTGCAGAGTACATACAAACAAAAAAAGAATTTGAGAGGTTTATTCAACTCAAAGGAATGAAGTTGAATAATGTCATCTTTACTCTTAAAGTGTGTGGCCCTCTTGTTCGTGTATTAAGGTTGGTGGATCGTGAAAACAAGTCTTCCATGGGTTATATTTATGAGGCTATGGATCGAGCAAAGGAGGCCATTGACAAGGCATTTAGTGGAAGGAAAGAAAAATATGAAGAAATTTTTTAAATTATTAATAAGAGGTGGGAATGCCAACTCCACCAACCATTGCATACAGCTGATTACTTTTTAAACCCCCAATTTAATTACGATGATCAAGAGAGAATTGAAACAGATGAAGAGGTTATGACGGGGCTTTTTAAAGTAATTGAGATGCTTGAGAAGGACAAGAACAAGAGAATTCTAATCACTGATGAAATATCCAAGTACAAGAATGCAGAAGGCATTTTTGGTTTTGATATGGCTATTTCCCAGAGGAAGACTAATGCACCAGGTAAATAACATTGATTTAATAATTAATACAATATTTGATTATCTTAATATTTTTAGTTTGTCCAATGATCACTAATAGTTAATACTTGTATTTTTTAGCTGATTGGTGAACCATATTTGGTGCTTCTACCCCAAATCTACAAAAGATTGCAGTGAAAGTTCTAAGTTTGGCATGTAGTGCATCGGGGTCTGAGTGAAATTGGAGCGTATTTGAGCATATATGCCAAACTACTACACTCAAATACTTCCATTTTTTTTGGATAAATTATCTTAAATTTACACTTACTTATTTTTTTGAATTAACAGATTCATACTAAGAAAAGAAATTGGTTGGATCGGAAGCGACTGAATGACTTGGTATTTGTTAAATTCAACCAGATGATGCTTAAAGAAAGTTTTGACTCACATAGCACCAATGACCCCATTTCATTAAAAGATATAGATGAGAGCAATGAATGGTTAATGGGGAGGTAGGATGTGATGAGGATGGTGCAGAAGCTGATTTGGTGTTTGATGATGATACACTAACATGGGGAGATGTTGCTCGTGCTTCTGAAGTTGAAGAGCTACTAAGGTATACAAGGCCTAGAGCTTCAACTTCCCAAGCAAGAGCAACAAAATCTAGTGCAAAAAGACCAACTCCAAGACAGCTTCAATTGGAAGATGAAGAAAAGGAAGAAGAAGTTGAAGTTGATGTGGAAGAAGAAATGGAAGAGGATTTTGATGACTACAAGTCAGATGGCAATGAAGATGAAAACTTCCAAGTGAAGATGAAAACGATTAGAGGATGATAATGCTGATTGAGACATTGAGCCTTGAAGAATGGCTGAACTGAAACCTTGGACTCTTTTTGTTTTTAATATAGAAAATTGTCTATGATTTTGTTTTGTAGAAAATTGTCTCTGACTCATTTTTTGGGTAGAAAACTGTCTATGACTCTATCTATAATCTATATGTCTTTTTTTTACTCTTAATATATAGCTTGTTTTTTGAAATATTTTTCAAATCTGATTCCTTACTTGCTTATTACAATAAATGATCAATTTTTATAATGATTTTGTTACGTGTGAGCAATGGAGAGGATACTGATACCAAGAGGTAAGTGTCTTTTAAGTGTTAACTTCATTAATGCTGATTATCTAATGTTGAATAGGACTATAGGTTGTGCTCATATGTCATATTCTTTAATTCTTTTATATTTATATTTTATATTTTTATATTGAATCATTGAAATTGAAATTTGAATGAGTTATACTGTTCTGTTATTATTATTTTTTTGTAGTCTAGTCTCCTTTAATTATTTAGTGCTGATTTCTTAATTCTGTACTTATTGCATCTTTTCCTGATTAACCAATTGAATCATTGCTGATTGCATATTCTTTAATTCTTTTATATTTAATGCTGATTGTAATATTGCATTCGCATATTCTATAATTATTTTATATTTAATCATGCTGATTTCTTAATTCAGATTGATTATTGATGATAAGATGATTGCATATTTTCCTGATTCATTAACTTCAGAATTCAGATTGCTGATAAGCTGATTACATTACCTCTAATGAGTAATTCTAATAATCTAAGTATCTAATTCTAACCAATTGAGTTAATAATTAAGTAATTAACTTAGTTTTTTTATATTTTCCTGATTTCTTAGAATTTCTACATGTTTTTTTCTATTTTTTCTAGTTTTTAGTTTTTTTTAATTTTGTGCGCCTCAGGTGCAAAATGACCCTTGCGCCTTGCCTGCACCTTTCGCTTTTAAAACACTGGGGTGACCAGGGTTTTGAAACAGCCTCTCCAATGCAGGGGTAAGGGTGTGTACATCTGTCTCTCCCCAGACCCCACATTGGCAGGAGCCTCATGCATTGGGATGCCCTTTTATAACCTAAATGGCTTCTTCAACTGATCAGAAGAGGCTTACCAACGAAGGAAATGCTTGGGTGAAAGACAAGAAGAGATGGAACCCTCCATTGAAGCAAGATGAAACAGTCAGGAAATTTTACCTACTGATTTGAACTCAAAATGGAGCCTCAAGTGATTCATCCCAAACTTCTGCACTGCCATTGGAGGCATCTTCACCATCTTCTTCCATGGAAAGCCTAATATATTCCCTATGTGCAAAGCGATCCCACTCTGTCAAAGTTGGATCCTCACGTTCCTGTACACACATAGCAACAGCAATGCTGACATCAAAAAACAGATAATGAAGCAGCTAATGATTCATTGACATCTTGTAAGTGGCAGATCAGCATTAAAGCAAAAAGACTGCAATATACCTGACGAATAAGAAATGGATCACGAGTTTCAAAAGCCATGAACTTATTAAGATTGAAAAGGATATTGAAAACATTCCCAGATAATTTGCAGCGCTTGAAGTCAAGCAGTGTTAAATAGGACTCTTTCTGCATACAAAACTGACTGTTACAAACATTGCAATCACCTACGGCTAAACCACAACTTAACAAGAACAACCAAAAGGAAAGGTGTGACCTCTGGTCCAATCATGTCAATCATCTGGCATAAAATGTCCTCAAAGAGCACAGGCTCTTGTGCCATGCATTCCATTCTATGCAACTGCTCCTCATAAAAGAACTGCATTTCATTAGGTGTGAGTATTCCATTTCCATCCAAATCTATACACTTGAACCTGCAAAATAAAAGTTGATGAGATAAATGGTGCACAACTTACAATCTTTCTATGTAACAAATAAAACTACCAAGAGAGGAAAAGGTCTCAAAATAAAATTATATTGGTACCACAAATCCGACCATGTATTGGTACCACAAATCCCACCACAAAATAAAATGCCATGTATATGAACATGCATGCATGTATGTATGTATCTAATACATACATATATACATCCATATAGCTGACCTCATATAATTGGGATAATGCTTAGATGATGATGATGATGATATGTGTGTGCACGCATGTATCCAATACATACATATATACATTCATGTAGCCGACCTCATATAATTGGGACAATGCTTAGATAACGATGACGATGATGTGTGTGTGTTTGGGACTTGGACATTCCATGGATTCTTGAGGGACTATTCTATATGACAATTTTCTTTATTTAATTGCTTAATGAACAGTCAATGTACACATCAAATGTCACTTTTTCTACAAAATGTTATCAAATAACTGAGATAATCTTTGAAATGCATTTCCTATAGGTATGTGATGTTAAAGATTCAACAAGACATGGACTACTTTAATAGTTATCCTTGTTTGAACACAACTTTGAGTTCTTGTTTTCATCTTGCTGAGTCATACTCTTGGACACATGTCAGATTCTGATACTCTTATCCATGTCCATGCAACACTAACAAAATTGCACTTAATTATTTTATCTTCATTGACTTTTCCTTGATAGTAAAGTAAAAAGAGAACATAAAATGGGTGATAAGAAACCAGAAGAGGAAGAAGAAACTAAATGTAATACCATTAACGTCCACACCAACACCCAACAAAAACCCTTCCACCAACTGCACTGGAAAAACACCATTCATGAAATCCCCAAACAGAAAGATATATTCATATGGAAGAAACAAAATCACCAAGCATGAACAAACCAACAATATCAGACAGGCCATCAATAACCATCAAACCAAGAAAACATCTTTCTCCACCTGAATCAATTACACCACACTTCAACCCCATTAAACTTCTCAATCCTTCCACGAGAACAACTACAGCCCACCTCTTCCCAGAAAAAATTCATCTTGTCAAACAACAAAGTTCACTCCCAAGAATTGGGGTGATCCAAATTGTCTTTCTAATTCCAATGATGTCTTTCTTGCAAACTCCTATACAAAAAAATAACCCCAACTTCTTACCTGCATGAAACCTTGAACTTCTCTATCAATAAACACTTCCAAATCCATCTTGTTTACTATAAAAGCTTTATCAAAAGGAATGCTATCTCCAACATCAGCACATTAAGTCACCTTGTCTCATTAACTATTTTCAGCCACATCAAATATTGTGCATTAGAATGAATGTTGTCCTTCAAACCTCTTCCCTCATAATTTTTATTTATGATGGGCTTCCCTCCCAATGTTTTACATGAACCAGCTTCATTCATTTTTTCATGTGAAAAAGAAAGAAAAAACAGCTGACCAATGAATTTTCTCTCTTGCACTCCCCCTCTTCAATATAAAACTTAATGCCTGTTTCAGAGTTGTCTCTGCGTATCTTGTCAACTGTCACCCTTGTTTCTAAACCAATCAACTAGGAAAAATCACCTCCCCACATACACCACTTCTACAACATTCTCTATGTTTGTCTATACATCCATTCTTACCTGTGAATCATGATCTCATAAACCAGATCATTTGATGCATCTCTTTATGATCAAATCTTCTAATATTGAGCATTGAACATGACCCACTTTTTCTGTACTGTCAACCGCAAAACCTGCAGCATTCTGACATTGAGATCCCTGACCTGCTCTATTGGACTCAGAGACGTGTATTTCTTTTCTTTCTTTGACCCCTATCAGATATTGAATCCTCTTCCTTTTTGTGGAGATAACAGTGTTTTAAAAGCGCAAGGCACAGGAGTCAATTTGCGCCTGAGGTGCAAGGCAAGGTGCATGCCTTTTTGAGGCAAGGCGCAAAAATACAAAAAACAAATGCTAAAAAATCCAAAAAATGTCAGAAAATTCAAAAAAAATGCCAAAAAAAATTTAAAAATGCAAAAAATTCAAAAAATATTAAACATAATGTTAATAAAAAATATAAACTTAAATTTTAAAATAAATGTTTTAAAAAGCCTATTATCTAAAACTAAAACACATAAACATAACATGTAAAGCGTATTCAAATGAAAACTTAAAACTAAAAGCAAACATATAAAGCATTTTTTCAAACATGTAAAACCCACAATCTCTTTTTTTCCTTAATTGCATTGCTTCAAGTAGCTAATGTGACGTAAAACATATTGCATTCTTGATTCTGAGTCGTCTTTGTACCACGCCCCTCGAGGAAAGCCTGAGCAAGTCTATGTTTGGGTCTGAAATTCTTATTTCTCACATAAAAATAATGACTTTATAACTTTCATTGCCGTTTAAGAAGATATTTTATTGCAATGAACGAATGAACAACATTAGCAAATGGGGGGTTCTCGGAGCTTCAGTGAGCGAATGAACCGGAGTAGAGTAGAACCCCCCATTTGCTAATGTTGTCCATTCATTCATTCATTGCAATAAAATATCTTCTTAAAAGGCAATGAAAGTTATAAAATCATTATTTTTATGTGAGAAATAAGAATTCAGACCCTAACATAGATTTGTTTGGGCTTGCCTTGAGGGGCGTGGTCAGGGGTCTAGGGGTGGAACCCCGGCCCAACCGTTAGACTCAAAAAAAAGCAAAAAGCGCAAAATTTTAAAAAGGCGCACACCTGGGTTGAGGCGCTTTGGTTACAAGAGATAACACTGCCTAACTTACACTTCATTCTTTCAGCCAAAACCTTAGCCAAGATTATGTAGAAACTGCAAACTTGATTTGGAAAAGGCTTATGACTTGGTAGATTGGGATTTTTTATTAGAAGTTTTAAGAAACAGAGGTTTTGGAGAAAGGGTAAAAGGTTGTGTGACTTCATGCCAGTACTATATTTTGGTGAATGGGGTAGCTAGGGATTTTTTCCCTGCAAAGGAAGGTCTAAGACAAGGGGACCCTCTTTCCCCCTTCCTTTTTACCTTAATAGTGGATGTTTTGAGTGTTATGATCTCCAGAGATGACTCCAAAAATATTTTTCATGGGTGGAGAGTAGGAAGGCAAGTAGTGGTTACTCATTTACAATTTGCAGATGATATAATTCTCTTTTGTGAGGGAGAGCCTAAGGAGATGATCAATCTGAAATTGTTGGTAGAAGATTTGGAAAAGGTCTCTAATTTGAGACTGAATTGGAATAAAAGTTGTGGTTGGGGTTAATAGATCAGATGAGGAGGTGTCTTCCTTGGCTAGGTTGTTAGGCTATGAGTGGAGTGATTGGCCTATAAAATACTTGGGTTTACCCCTAGGGGGAAACCCAAAGTCAGAAAGTTTCTGGTACCCATTCTTGGAAAGATTCACAAAGAGACTAGCAGGGTGGAAGAGGAATTACATCTCTTTAGGAGGTAGAATCACTTTAATTAAGTTAACTTTAGCAAATTTGCCAGTGTACTTCCTGTCTACCTTCAAAGTGCCTATCAAGTTGGCAAATAAGTTGAAAAAAGTAATGAGAGATTTCCTCTGGGAACCTAGGGAGTCAAAAAAGGATCACCGAGTGAAGTGGGAAATGGTCTCTAGGACAAAAGACAAAGGGGGTTTAGGGATTGGAAATATCTGTCTAAGAAACATAGCACTCTTAGGTAAGTGGTTGTGGAGGTTTCCCAAGGAGCAAGAAAGTTTGTGGCATAGAGTGATAGAAAGCATACATGGATTGGCAGTAAATTTATGGGATGCTAGTATCAACCCAAGGGCTTCCCGTTCCACTCCATGAAAAGACATTGTTGGTATCTTGCCCACCTTTTCTACTTTCATCAGGTACAACGCTTGTTCGGGTAATGAGGTCCATTTTTTGGAGGACGTTTGGGTTGGGGACCAGCCTCTTAAGGATAGGTACCCGGCCCTCTACTCCTTGTCCTTGAACAAATTTAAAGTCATCTCTACCTTTCATGTTTCTAATGAGGCATGGGATTTAGGGTTCAGGAGAGGGTTGAGCGAGTCAGAAATAGGGTTGGCAAATGATCTTTTCTCCCTTTTAAATTCAATGTTTTTGGATCATTCTTGTCCTAATAATAGAATTTGGTCTAAAGAGTCCTCCAGTTGTTTTTCATGCTCTTCTTTCTTCAATGCTTTTTGTTGGGAAGTGGTTCTCCAAAACATCAACACTTTGGACTTGCTTCAGAAAAAAAGACCGAATTGGTTCTTACCCCCTCATGTTTGTAGCCCTTGCTTGAAAAAAAGACCGGTTGTCCTTTTGTTACTCTTATTTGGGATTGGTTTTCCTCTCTCTTTGGGTGTAGGTGGGTTCCTCCTACAAGCGTGGTGGATCTTTTTGAATCTAGMTTTTTTCGTCAGTTAAAGAAAAGAGGAAGGGTAATGTGGAGAGCAACGAGGGCAGTAGTTGTTTGGGCAGTGTGGGAAGAGAGAAATAACAGAATCTTTCAAGGGAAAGAAAAATCCACACATGAAGTCATAGAAGGGATCAACATCAAGATCATACATTGGCTGAAACCGCTGGGTCTGTTCAAGGACTTCTCTGTAGATGACTTAATTAGAGGGTGGAGTGCGGTGGCAGCTTCTTCCTGCCCCTCTTTAGCTATTCAAGAGGACTGGTCGCCCCCATTATCTTTGGATGTTAAGTTAAACTTTGATGGCAGTTCTATAGGTAATCCAGGCCCCTCTGGAATTGGGGGTGTCTTTAGAGATGGGGGAGGAAAYGTCCTGGCSCTTTATTCTRGCYYGATAGGACTGGGGGACTCTCTTAGGGCAGAAGTTTTGGCACACCTACAAGGGCTCAAGCTGGCTAAACAGCTGGGTTTTCAGCAGTTGGAAGTGGAGGGAGACTCGAAACTGGTAATAGGTTGGATGCAAACAAACAGCTTAGGCACCTGGTCCCTTAAACAAGCTGTAAGGGAGATTATGCAACTAACAAAAGAGCTTGAAGTCAGGTTTAAATGGAGTAGGAGATCAGCCAATGCAAAGGCTGATAGTTTAGCAAAGCAAGGAGTTAGTAGGCAGAACCTTTTTTGGACCTGTTTGTAATCTGTGGAGGGGTCACCTTGTTTTTTGAAGGTGACAGTTGTGCTAAGTTTCTTAAAGAATTAATGAAAGTTACTGTTTCCAATAAAAAAAAAGAAAGAAATTCGAAGGCTTCCTGGGATAAAGACTACAATAGGAAACATTCTCACCGAACAAGGCCACTAACAGAGGAGGAAAAAGAACAAGACAGTGGAACCAATGAAGAAGGAAGAATAAGTGATTCAAGCAAGGAGGAAGTTCATATAGATTAAACCAACTGGATTAATAAAAGAGTTGATATGAGCAAGGTAGTGGGTAAAGCATTTGAAGTGAACAAAGCTCTGGGTTTACTGGTTTTAGGTGGAGAGGTTTTTACTAGAAAGATGTTTCAGGAACCGGAAGGAAGATTTCCTTTGCCCTCTGAAGAAAATATGTCAAGATCCGAAGAATTAAGTTCTGAGAAGAGAGAAGATGCACCTACAACAGCCAGTAATGATGAGATTGAAATCTTGGAAGCGGATCAAGTGTTCAAGAAGAATACAGTTCTGGAACTAGAAAGAATTAACAAGGAGACTAGGGACTTGTTGGAATTTAGGAAGGATTTTCTGGCAGTCAGAAGGTTCAAACATCAGAAAAACTGTTGTCCAGTTCCGATGTCAAGTGTTTTTGCTATATTAGAAGGAGGGCTATTTGGGATGGACCAAGTAAAAAAGTGATGAAATACAAGGGTCAAAAGAAGAATAGAGGGCTCTGATCTTTTTTTGCTTTTTTTCACGATGCGGTGGCCGATTTTTTCTGGGATGCTTTGCTGTGCTTTTATGTGAGCCTGGTTGTGAAGAGTTTCGTTTTGATGGTTAGAATTTCCTATTTTCCAGGTTTGGACATCTGGGTCAAAGGTAGGGAACTTGGGTGTAATACTTGTACTGTGGCTGCTGCTTTTTTTTCTTTTTTGAGATATTGAAGTTTGGGTGATTTTGTTTTGTTTTTCTCTCTTGGGTGACTTTTGGTCACCTTCCTTGTACTTAAAAAATTTTTTTTATAAATGAAGGTATTTGACTAGGCATAGGAGAAGTGTACCGTCAGCCTAAAAGGAGGCACAAGATGTTACCTCCCCTTAGAGCTGAACACTGAAAAAAGTACACTCTAACTGGAAATTACAATTACAAGGTAGCCCAAAACAAATCACCCCTTGTTTAGCCAAAGAATCAGCCATAGCATTTGCCATTCTGCTGACCCACATAAAGCTAACTACCATATTCCTTGTCAGCCAATTAACTTTCTCCAAAAGGACCTTGTAACCCCAAAAGACTTTCTGGATTCGATAGCCATCCGACTACCACCTTGGAGTCCCCCTCAACTATCAAGTTCTCGACTCCCAATTGGCTAGCAACCTGTATATCTTGCACCACTGCCAATATCTCAGCCCTTAGAATCTCCAACTCCCGCTGATCCTGAGAACAAGGATAGAATGTTGCTGTCCTTGTCTCTCAAGACAGCAACATTCTATACCCAAGGGTTCTGGATTACCTTGGCTGCTTCCATCAAAATTTAGTTTAACCACTCTTTCTGGAGGAGGCTTCCATTCAGCTTGTATTCTGTTCTTTGTGGCAGCTGTGGCCTCCTTAAATCATCGTAAGAGAAGTTCACGAACAGGTCTGAAGTTTTCAACCAGAAAATTGTCCTTGTCAGTGTACACTCCTTTACTTCAGCAAGACTTCTCTCTTTCTCTTGAAAAATTCCAGCATTTCTCTCCTCCCAAATTGTCCACAAACTAGCTGCTCTTATGCACTTCCACATTAAGTTCCCTCTCTTTGTCAGTCGCCCAAAGGCAAACGGTTCAAAGAGCAGATTTACTTCAGAGGGCAAGTTCCACATGCACCCAAAGAGCATTAAACCCCAATTCCAAATACTAGCAGCAAAAAAGCAAGATGTTAGCAAATGGTGACAGTCCTCACTGTTCACTTTACATAAAGAGCACCAGTTTGGGGACGAAAGGCATTGAGATATCAGAGAAAAGATCTAACATTAATGACTAGATTGAATACTAATTTTTTATCCCACCCCACCCCTCCAACAAAAGAAAATGCGACTACCAAGTCCTGCATGCAGCTCTCCCAAGCTGCAATTTTATCAAATGAAATGGGTAATACCTGCATTCCACTAGAACCTTAGTAATCATGCATGAATCACCCCATGCACTATGCAGCTCTTCTTCAGTCTCAAACAAGTCTATGAACTTGAATGGCACAATTCAAGTAAGTACTAGCTAAGATTTTCTTTAGTTTTTCTTGCATGGGCTTAGCCATATTTGTCTCCTAAGTAGAAAATATGCATCAGACATCACATTCAATTTGCACTATCTGATGATCATCTGATGATCATAGGTTGTATCAGAATCAATTACTAATAGATAAACACAGTTTTCTAAATAAAGTTATGGTATTCATACTAAGAGAACAATTAGGGTATTTTTCCCATACAACAGTTTATGGAGCACTGTTTTACAAGTTTTTCTCAAGACCGTGTCAATGAGAATCAGTAGTACATGTAACCCCATTTTTCAACATACCACACACCAACAGTATGAAGCCCATCCTGGCTGATGTCAATACACCAATCCTATTAAGAACAATCTCCCTTCAAATATAGGTGGAAAAAGGCTTTAAGAAGAGAACATCAATGATTTGCCAAGTCCCAATAGTTTCTCATGATTGATGTCCTTCCCTTCTCTGTCTCTCGGATTCATCTAAGAAAATAAAGAAAAAAAAGGATCATATCATCATCGCCATCATATGGGTTGGCTACATTAATCCTGTTTCGCCAATCCATTCTATTTAAAGCCATACCCACTGTTAAATCATTAGTGAAGTAGTGCTTAAATCATTTCTTACTACTTCTACCCATCTCCTTTTTGGTCTATTCCGAGCTCTTCTAGCCCCTTCAATGCGTAACAAATCACTTCTTCTAGTTAGCACAGTTGGTTTTCTATGCACATGCTCAAACCATCTTAGTTTTTTCACTCATCCATCTTAGCGTTTGCATTTCTGCCACATTCATTTTCTGGACATATTGTTTCTTGACTACCCAACACTCCACTCCATACAACTTGGCTGGCCTTATAACTGTTTTATAGAATTTTTCCTTTTAATCAAACTGGTATTCGCCTAACACGTAAAAGTCCAGATGCACCCCTCCATTTTGCCCACCCTACTCTAATTCTTTGGGTGACATCCTCCTCAATCTCTCCCTTGTTATGAATTATTGAACCAAGGTACTGGAAATGGTCACATTGAGTTGTCTCTTGGTCTCCAAGCCCAAGTGTATCTTGATTTACAGTTCTAATATTACTAAATTTGCATGTCATATACTTTGTTTTACTCCTACTTATTTTAAAACCTCTGTTTACAAGGCATTTGTCCATAAGCTTAATTTTGCATTTAATCCTTCATTAGTTTCGATTCCATTAAGCAATAAAGTTCAACATGATATTGCAGGAAGTGGGATAGGCATACCAATACTCAAGACTAGGTTCAGACGACTTATCTTCCTCTGACAGCAAAAAGTAAACAAAATCTTCATAACCCATCTTCCCTTCAACCTTGCTAGTAAACTTTCTTGGGACCTGAGAAGGTTAAAGAATAAACTTTTAACAAAAATATATTGGTATAATACATGTAGTCAACAGGCAAAGGACCAAGGATTGGAGGGGGAACAAACCTGTGAAAAAATTCTATCAACAATCCTGTATGTAAGAGCATGGTTACCATATCTGATAAGGTTCTCCTTGTCAATCACGAAATCATGATCCGTATCCAGTTCCCAAAACTTGCAGTATATGACATAAAAGTGCTCATAAGAGAAGTACCTGTAGAGAGAAAATAACAGGAGAGTTTAAGCTTAAGTGCTTTGATAAAATTAAAGTGTAAAACTAACAATTACATGCTTCTTTTCTTTTTTGAAAATTAACAATTACATGCTTCTCTATATCAATGGAGATTATTTTCTCTCTGTCACCCTGAACTTTGAGACAAAATGCACAATGAATTTTCAGTTTCTAGAAATCACCCTAGAAAGGACAAACAAATACTGATGGAAAACAGTTATCAATTCTCAACTGAGAAAGTATGCATAGATGGGTAGATAGAATGTTCAAGGATCAAAGAGTTGGAACGCATAGGTTTATGTTTGTCTCAATCCCTACCAATCAAAAGTAATATACCCAAATTTGATTTCTTTAGTTATACCCAGAATTTCATACTAGTGCAAAAGGTGAAGGAACCAGTATAGCCAATGAGAAACAAAGAAAAAATCTAAGAATAGAGAAGTACCTTCTTATATAGTATATACTATATACTATATTATATTATATTATATATTATATATGATCCTTAAAGTTGATTATCTCTAGTAATCCTATTGCTTTGAAACCTTAGTACCCTTCAATATAATAATCTTCCTCATTTTTATCTCATGAACCCCATTCATATAGAATAGTTTTAATACATAACTTAGTGCATTAATAAAATATACATATTTTAGCTTACAAGTGTAATATGTCTGTGTCTAACAAAAAGAAAAAGGAAAATATAACAGAAATCGCCTTAGCTTTACCACTGAGCATCACCGAGTTTTCCCTGGGCAAACCCCTAGGTTATAAAAAAAAGCCTATTGGCCTCAACTTTGCTGTCAATACAAACCTCTGACAACCCATTTATATTGATAATTTGAAGCCCCAAGTCAATGAGTAAAGCTCCTCTCTTACCGAGTCTCAAAATCTTAGCAATCTTGATTCTAGAATATGCTAGTCTAACTACCATGGTACTGTCTATAAAGGCATCTTTATCGACAGAATTTCACATAACGGTGCTCTCACTAGAAGACCCTTGGTGAAACTATCAACACTCTGTAGGGGGGATTTAATAATTATAATAACTCACTAGAAGACCCTTGGTGAAACTATCAACGGTGCTCTCACTATTCTAGTAAAGTCTCAAATACCAGCACACATTAAGCATCTCCTCTTGTCCTAGAACTAATGGCTTTTATACCAATTGTTAGAAGATCATAGACATAGACATAGATATATCCTGAACTAAAGAGCTTGAAACCAGATATCAGACAGACCAGGTAAGTTCCTCCAGATAATAAAATGGATAAGGGGTGGCTTACTGACTCCTTATCAGCTTGTCATAGAAGCAATTGGCATCTAAACAATTTCAGAACAATTGGACAAGCAAAAAATGCATCATCTGGCGCTTGTGTATAAGTGCATTCTACGGATGGTCAAAAATTCTATTCACAAGTCAACTTCGATATGTAGCTGGGGGCACATTAGGGTGTGTTACCCATGACTATGAGATCCACCAAAGGCATACTCTTTTATTTTCATTAAATATTCTCCTTTGAAGATCTGCAACTAAGAATTTATTTCTCCTGCACTCTTGGATGTTAGCAAGAGATGAATTTAAAATCATATTGCTAAGTTAATTGCAAAAGAATTTGACAGAGAGATCCTCATAGTGTCCCTGTCAACAGCCCCCAACGACTGTCCTCCCTCCTGCAGAAGGTGAAATTAGATGTCAGTTTGATGGTAGCGCTTGTCAGAACCCAGTTGCAGCATGCATTGGAGGAGTTTTCTTTAATCATAATGGGAGATTATTCTTGGATTTTGGTGGCCCTATTGGTGATTCTGATTCTACCAAGGCCAAGATCCTTCCATTTCTCACCGAAGTCTATAGCCGGGAGGCTCCACCCATCCAACATTGCCATATAAAGAGATTCAGCTAATAATACCATTCATCAGTGCATGGGATGATCTGAGGCAGTTAGAAGCTTGCTCATTATCTTAATGGCTGTAGGGAAGGCAATCTTCTTTAACAACAGTTCTATACCTTGCATGATTTAGTAAGGAATTGAGCTTTATTGTCTTTATATTCTAGTGTGCATCCTCAAATGTACATATAACATATTTGGGTCTTCGAACGAAATAACCATTACCACCACAAAAAAAACGTCTAACAAAAATGAAAAGCTCACTCCAGGGGCAAGGTTTTTTTATTCAATCATCATCTAATGTGCATAATTTTTTTATTTGTCTCTCACATGCATTTTTCCCCTATCAATTAAGCAGTTGTCTTCTCAAATACATGCACACACACATACTAATAAAACCAGAAGCTCGTTCTTAGAGCCACTGTTCTGTTACTAATAAAACCAGAAGCACATTTTCAATAATAATTCAATAACTGCAATTTCAATATTTTGAGGAAACCTTTTATTCAACTTGATGTTTCACCTTCATCCAACACAATATCTCTGTTGTTTTTCTACTTAGTTTTATTTAATTTTCACTTTCTCATTAGTTGTACCTACCAATTGCTGCCTCTGTTACTTCTTGTTCTTGAGTTTCAGAATGGTTTGCTCTTTGTTAAATGGAACTACAGCCTTGCTACTCTAACTCACAATTTCCGTACATCTATTACTTGTTGTGGGAACAGAAAATGAAACCTAAGAATCCAGAAGTGCAAGAATCAAGAGGAGTCTGCAATCGAAGTATAGCAAGTAGAGTAGAGAGTCTGAGATTGTATATAATTGCAGATTTCACCACATGCATGTACTTGCAAATTGTTCTACTTGTACTACAGATAGGACCATTCGAAGACAACGAGACCATCAAAAGCTCATGCATGTCAGCATTCAATGAGTATAGCCTGCCATAGAGTACCTACCCTAGGATGACTTTTTGGATGGAGTGATTGATCTACTATACTTGGAACAGCAACCGAGTGTATTCAGGTGCCAATCTTGATACATGTCCACAAATAATGGTGGATACTTCCATGTTTACAAGAGTAACAACTACAAGTTACAAGAATTAGACCACTGAAAATTCTTCTTCAACAGCTCTTGATGAATATCTGAAGGATGTAGGCTTAGCAATTGAAGGAAAAAGCAACTCTTGCATCTAAATTTCTAACCATGATTTAAAAGTGAAGGATGAAAATGGTTATCATTGATCAAAAACAACTACAACAAATGCTCTAAGCCAGCGAGTGAATAATAAAAATTTTTCAAACTTTATTTTATTTTACTTTATCAAGAAGATCCTAAGAAAATAGATTATTTTATTTTATGACTCAGATATCTGAACACGGGTCCCATGCCATGCTGGATACTAAAATGTTTTCTGTAAACTTAGTCAGATATGGCGATACCTTTTCCAGCTAAATCTGAGTGTCAGAAATTTAAATAAGTACAAGCCAACATCATTGAAATAACCATTTGATAGCGAATAAATTGCAACAGATCAAATTGACAACATGCATCAAAAGAATCATCAACCACCCATTTGAACACCCCAATCAGTGTCAAATGATATTTTTCCTTGGATTAAGTAATATCATTAATTCTGGAGTTATCGCCTAACAGCTTTTGTGGTCAAATTTTTTATTAAAAAATTTCATGGTCAAAAAGTTGAATACCTAGTGAAGCCACAAAGATACAATGCCAAGGACAAAGATTCAAGGTAAGTCCAGACATGGATTACAAAGCTTAAGCATAATTCTCAAAGCAGATCTTCTTAAGAGTGGGAATACTATACAAATCTTTCAAATGATCAAAAGAAAAAAAAAAGGAAAAAACAATAGAAGCAGAAATTTTCAATAGTGTTCAAGTCTGATTTTGCAGTACTTTGTCATTTCATTTTCCATGCCGTTTTCTATAAATTGATCAAATAATTTTGTGGTTGACTAGGTCAACTACACATCAGTTAATCTACTCACCCACTCATTGCTTAGTCAGCCAAGGCGACCACAGCAAGGGTATCAATCAACTAGTTAGCAATGTATCCAGCAACCCCCCAAATTGGCTAGTCAGTAGATAAGTCAATGCTTTGATAACACTGGGCCCATGACAGCTTTTAGTGACCATTGTTCCCATGGCATGGCTTTAGTGAGATGCAGGCTAACTTTCACCCAAATATGAGCCAGTCAAGAGGCCTCATTTTAGCCCATATTGAATCCAAAACTAGAAGCTCAAATTAACCATTCTTACTACCTTGTCTCTGCACTTTTAGGTCTTAAGGAACTAACCCCATAGGCTAACGACTGCTGTGCATGCAAGAAAGCAATTGAAAGAAACTGGCAAACCTCAAAAGCAATTGAGTCAATGTGACTATTACAATCTGAGTAAGTTGAAACATGAAAAAGGAAAATCAAACATTATAATCCACGTAAAAATAATCTCTTCCATAATGCAAATAACTAGAAAAATTTTCAGATGATAGGAGCCTACCTCAGAACTTTGTTAATATCCTCTTCCTCATCTGCATGTTGCATTGCAGCAATAAGATTTCCACGTTTCAGCTCCCTGAGAGTAAGATGGCCATTCCCTGACCTATTTATGTAATAAAATATTCTGTATATGACAGTTTCAGCTGCCCCATTGTGATGGGAATTTGGGTTAGATTTCATCATAAATAGATTGAAAATGTAACGGTATCAGATTGACAAATAAACTTAAGGAAAGAAGCCTATAGGAACTATAGATCATTACATCTATTGCATGCCAGTGCCATACCCATCATTCAGATAGGATAAGCAAATAGGAGATCTCCAATCAGATTCATAAGTTTTGGGTTCTTCAGCACAGCATGATCTAATTAAAGAGTTGTGAGAAGGGTAGAGACCCAGATACAGCAAGGACACAGATCAATACAGTATTGGATATTTGCACTAAAAATTTAAGTATCTGTTATGATACAGCACCCTTTGTACAGGTATCCAGGTATCATAGGTGGATAGCATTTTGGTATAGAAACAAACTCCAGTAAATGAAGAAGGAATTTTTTTATTGATCAATAACCATGAATTTTACTAAGATTGAAGTAACAGTAAAAAGTACATATATACAGTCTTCCCTTGAGAGATACAACCTGTTATCTCTCCCCTTTCACTTTAGACTATTTACAACTGTGCCCACAAAAAAGGAAATTCAAGCCATGTAAAAGTTTTTGGATTTATTAGTGAAGCTAAGTTCCCAAGATTGACAGCTTGGACAAAAAAAGAAGATGGATTGAAATTCTTGACAGTGAGCAAAAGAAGGGAGTGACCACAACAAAGAGAGGTAAAAGATGATTCGCCAAGAAGAAATTCATTGGAGAAAATGCTCTGCAAGGATTGAAGAAGGGGTAGAAACAGAAGATGTTTCCAGAGTTATGATAATTGCAGGAGGTACATTATTTCCAATATTCAATTCACATTGAGGGCCAAGCGAAGGAAAAGTGTCCTTGCAAGAGGATCCATAGCTTCTTTCACCTATCTCTACACATTGGGAAGAAGCTTAAGGCCCCACCCTAAAATTTCTGAAGAAAAGAGCAGATGAATAAAGGAGTTTAAAGAATAGGGAATTGAAATGATAGTTTTATGGTAGTTTTCTCAATGGTTGATGACAAAGCTCCAAGGCCATATGGTTTTTTGATGGAATTTTTTCATTAATGTTGGGATGGCTTTAAAAAGAGCCATCTAAAGGTGTTTGAATACTTTTACAGTGCTGCTATTGTTAATATGGGAAACGGGACCACATTTCTAACTCTCATCTCAAAGAAGGGGGCCTCAGAAATCAAACACTTATGACAGATTAGACTAGTGGATTGATCCATAAAATTATTGCCAAGGTTCTCTCCTTTCATCTTAAAGAAGCCGTTGGCAAGCTGGTGGCATATAGGCAAAGCACTTCCATTCGTGCATGACAAATTGTAGATAGCATCCTTGTAGCAAATTGTCATCTGTCATGGGAAGATTAAGAAAAAGAGAAGACAGCAAGAAGAAGAAAACAGAATGTGAGGAGAAATCAATCATTAGGGATGTAGCAGCACAACACAACCTTTCTATATTAAGAGTGTTTTAAAAAGAATGATAAAATGATGATACTACCCTTACACCTAAAATAGAATAAAACAAATGCTCATGGAATTCCCCCTCAAGTTGGGTTGTGTTGCAGAGCGAACAAAATTCAGGTTCTGAAAATATGATTGGCAAGTAGACAAAACAGGAAGAAAACAAAAAAAAAAACAAGAGAGTACTCAAGCACACACGAAAAATTACATGGTCCATAATTCGAGGCAGGTCATAAACTGGAATTCAAGGCAGAAACACAACACCATCTCTGTCCCACCATCTCCAATAGCATCCCCACAGCTCCATCCAAAACAAGATCGGCAGGATTATTACCAGCCTCCGAACAACTTCTTTCAGCTTCTTCATCTGTCCCTTACTTATGCAATGGATATTTTTCCTACAGTCTCTTAAAAGACTTCATAGAATATTCTTCACCCCCTATAAATCGAAGACCCAGAATTGAGCTACCAACTTCATGAACTTCATCAAAAATAACCTCATCCTCACTTGATTCTAACCACTCATCACTTTCACTTCCAACCGCCTCAGAGGTTTTTCCTAAAACTTTATTTAATCTAGAAATTCCCTCTGTCACCTTCAAATTCTCCATCAACGGAAGAAACTTAAAATACCAGAACCAGATCTCTTTGTCAAAAGTTTATAGGAAGGTGACAGAGAAGTCCCATCTCCTCTCTTTTCACTCCCCCCCCCCTTCCCGTCTCAGCATCAACTTCTTTCTCAATATCCCCTACACAAATAGCACCAGAACCAGAACTCTTCTGAACCTAGAAATTTTCAGTTAACATCTGCAATTCTTGTGAGCAAAGCTCACTTTCTTTTTCTATTTCACCCAAATTACTTCCTGCTCTATCAATTAATCAGGGGTTTTTCCTAAAACTTTATTTAATCCAGAAATTCCCTCTTTGTCACCTCCAAATTCTCCATTAACAGAAGATACACCAGAGCTAACACTTCTAACTTTAGCACGCTTACCTAGCCAGGATTAATATCTCCAGTCAATTACAACTTCAAAAACTTCCCCTTCTTTTTCTTCTTTTCTATCATCCTTCTTAGCCGGACTTTCAATCTTTTCCTCTGTTTCTACCCCATGATCCTTGTAAATATACTTGGACGCTTGCCATGTGTAGCCCCTAGTCAGACTTTCCACCTAAGCCTAACAAGAATGATTTTTTTATTGGAAACTGTAACTTCATTAACATAAAATTGAGATACAACTGTCAACCCCAAAAGTAGGGTATTGAGCCCAAGGTTATCTTTATTACAACACTTCCCAAAAGAAACTCCCCCTCATAGTCCCTTGTTTGTCTAAGGTATCAGCTAGTCCATTAGCTGATCTTCTAGTCCACTTGAAGCAAGCACCAACCTCCCTTGTTATGTTGAGGATTTACCTTATAGGCTGTCTATATCCAGGCTCCCAATATATCTGATTGCAACCAATTAATTAATAATTTAGAGTCTCCTTCTATCTCAATTTGATGCAACCGCAACTGTTTGGCATATCTTACACCTTGAAGCAAAGCCATCGCCTCCGCTCTCAATGAGTCTCCCACTCCTATTGGTCCCAAAAACATAGCAAACGTTCTACCATCATCTCACAAAAATGATCAAGAAAACTAAAACTATCCAAGGAAGATGATAATGGGCAGTGGCTGATGGTTGGGATGCTGGAGTCCTGGCTAGAGATACACAAGCTTCTCCATGGAAATCTATTCATGCTGTTCTTCCTTCCTTTTTGGCTTATTGAAAGAATGGTAGGATCCATCTAATGGACGCCATAAAGGTTGCGGAATGGGTGGGGCGAATTTCAAAAATTTCCTACCT